TTTTTTTTTTTTGTCATGCTCTTCTACCCAAAAATATACTGTTAAAGGCAGGAGATTTAGGGAGGTGAGCCCTGAGAGAGGTGCCGAAGTCTGGTTTTGCTCATTGGGTAAATGTCACGCAAATAAATGGCAGCTGCCCATTTTTGTTCTTTCTTCTGGAATTAGAGTCTGTGGTCACTGTGTGGGGATTGGATGAACCACTCTAGCGCCTTGTGGTGGGCAAGCACGGAGAATGATTTAAAGTCCCTCGAGGGAGAGGGCCTGGGGGGGTTCTCACCCCAGAGGAAACCCCGCGATGCCGAGGGAGAAATCAAACTCTCAGGCCAGCAACAGCTAAACGTTATCACTTGGTTTTGACGTGGAAGGCCTTTGGTTACCATGTGTCCGCTCACCGACGTCTGTGCCGAGAGGGACTTTTGCTTATCATATGAAAATATGTTCCGAGGAAACCTTGCACAGTAGGCTTTATGAGGCCGAGGGAAGGAGCTCAGATAAGGTTCAGTTCTCCTTGAGTCACTGGGCCCTTGGGGAAGCTACTCTCTCTGGAGGGGAGACAAAGGACTTACTGTCCATGTAGCATGTCCAGTTTATAAAGGAGAAACCTGAAGCTCAGAGAGGTTGAGCGACTTTCCCAAGGTCACACAGCTAGCTGTTCCAGTCACTAAAACTAAATGAGCTACTATAGGTACATTTTGGGCAGCGCGTAGGACTCTGTACAGATGTTAATTATTACTAAGGCTTCTGGTGCCACCCTGGAAACCCAAAACCAACTAGCATGATTCCCGGAATCCAAACTCCCCACACCCTACGCCAAATAGGGCCAGAACAATCGGGTTCTGCTGTTCTACCTTTCTGACTACCTTCCACATCCTACTTATATCTCTCTTTCACAGGCACCTGCTAACTGCCGTTTATTAGTTTATCGAATGACAAATTTTCCATAAATTCCTTCCCAGATTTTTCGCCAATTACCACCTGCTCTTGTCCTCTGGTAAATACTTTCTGAAAAGAGCTCTTTATTTTTGAATGGGAACTGATATCCTAAGCCTGATCCCTGAAATTTAAAATGAGTAAAGAAACGTATGCAAATAAATTGTGCTGTCTGCCCCCCCCCCCACCTTCTTCCCATGACAGTTGTCCATGGACATCTTTGGGACACACAGACCAAAAAGCCTACTTCTTTGGGTAAATACAAGGAAGGCCCCATTCCGTTTCCGGGTGACATACGTGAATACCAGGCTCGGATTGGGCTCGTGAATTCCTAGCAGGAAAGCTCTCAGGTCTTTTTGCCAAGAGTGATGGCCGGGCGGGCTGGCTTGGACGTTTTAAGGGAGAGGTGAGAATTGGCGAAGCAGTTCCCCAACCTGGGAAGGTAGCGTGGAGGGGTTGGGAGGGTTAGGAAGAGTGAAATCAGCTCTTCGCCTTCCAGCCGTTTTTAGTATTGCCATTGTGGGGTGTGTGTGTGTGTGTGTGTGCGCGCGCGCGCGTTAACAAATTAGTAAGTAAAGTATGAAATTAACCACCCTAGACTCTGCACCAGCCACTTCTGGGCTCCCGGACGCTCGCGGGGGCGCGTTGGGCCACCCCGCTGTCCCGGCTGGTGCGCACGCCCAGGACCCAGACCGTGGCCCCCGGCCTCAGAAGTCCGGGTTTGTCTCCCGCATCCTGCGCACCGGCGCGCGGAAATGA